CCTGGTCTAGTGGAAGGTGTCCCTGCTGCTGGCAGGGGGGTTGGAACTGGATGAGCTTTGAGGTCCCTCCCAACCCAAACCAGTCTGGTATTCTATGATTCTATAAGTATCTTCAATAAAAAGTCCCACTGTGCCACCATATATCACATTTGGCTATCTCACAAGAAGATGCAGAAAGAGAATGAAGGGATATGTCTTAATATTGAATTTTTCTTATTAGTCCCAATGGTGAAGAGTCAGAGTTCACACACACAGAACACGTGCTACTTGCTCTCAGTACGGCTCCTTCTAAAACACGATGCCAAGCCCACGAGAAGAGGCGCCACATCTCCTGTGAGGCACTTAACAACCCAAAGGCAGAGGGACTGTTCCTATACCTGCTTCCCAGGTGGGGTTACTGAGCCCCTCCCAATTTCAGTGATGTGGAAAAGCCACCAAAGAAGCCCAAGTAAGAGCCCAACACACCCCTGAGATAACGGGGTTTTTAAAGTTTGCCTGCAAGGCTTATCTTCTCCTGTTACACAAGCTGTGTGATGACACTGGACTTACCTTTCCATACAGAATCACCAAAACCTTGCAAACTCCTGGAGTACTCCCAAAGTACCTGACAGGTTCTGCTGCCTCCAGAAGCTCCAGATCAAACCAGTGAGACTTCAGTCACCCGAACACAGACTGGGCTGGACATGGGGCAGCTCTGAACCGAGCGTGCGGCCCCATCAGCTGCAACAGAACCCAGGAGTGGCTGCTGAGCAAGAGACCTGACTTTAAAAATCAAGAGATTCTGTTTTAAATCTTTAGTGGTTTTTGTCACATGGACATGTCCTATTCTATTTGTCTGAATAAAAAAAAAGAAATAAAAATTTAAAATGTGAAAACGACCTACCCTGGAAATTACTGTTCTTATCAGTCACATGTATCTTCAGCAGCACAGCTTCTGCACACCACCAGCACCTCACCAAGGAAACCAGTAGCCCCTGACATCACTAATTCTAGCTGCTGACATTCAAAAATATGGCACATTCTCCTCTTTTAGTTTCGATCCACACACTCATTTCAACTGAAAAATTAAATACAAGTTGAAGGTAGGCACAAGGTGGCAACTGACTTCTGCCTCCCGATTTCAGTCCAGCCTTGCCAGCACTGTCGTCCTTCACGGATCTAAACTGTAGTCCCATTATATCACATTAACACAAAGTTATGTGTTTCACACACAGAAAACCAAACAAATGGAAAAATCTTTCTTCCTTACGCTTCCCATAGACACCTTCCCTTATGAAATGATTCATGATCCATGTAAACCTTCAACAACTGGAACAGGAAGAAATATCACTTAAAGAGGAGTGTGTCTTCATTATTTAACACACCCACCATTTTCCAGGTGGGTTTACATTACTCATCTACATCACATATATTTTCAAATGCCTCAAGTCAAAAGCATGCCTCAGCATACACAAACCTATTAAAAGCCTGTCTATTTTTTCCAGAATGGAGGAAAGTTTCTATTCTAAGGACAAAATACAGTTCTGCCACTGAACTCACAAGCCAGGGGTCATGCTCAGAAGGCTTTAAGCCACCCAATCCTAACAACACCCCCGTGTTACTTTCCCAAAGGCAGGTGTCAATGACAAAACCCCCCAGGGTCTCTTTTTGGGACAGAACAACAACACCAGGCCATGCTGCAGCTTCCCTTCCCCCAAACATCTCCCATTCCCACCTCCAGCAAGCACAGCCCAGTCACTCAGCCTGCAGAAGAGGAACTGAAAGCAGTGCCCTGGTCACCCTGCCTGGCTCCTGGGCGCTGCCCCAGCCCCTGCTCCCGACAGAAAGGGGCTGGGGGATGCAGAGATCCTTTCTCTGGAGCTTCAGCGTTATTCTTCATCGAGCTGCATTTCCTCAGTATATTAGATCAGACTGCCACATCATCCCAAGGTGTCATGGCAGGCTATTTTTTTATCAGGTTATCTAATTCCTGAACAAAGCACAAGGGCTAGAAAGTTAGCTTTACAAAATAAACCATCATGCCACTGCACATCCCTGGAACGCTGCAGGTATCGCTGAACGGACACAGGTTGTGGGTTGGCAGCAGAGGAGGCTGCTGGGGGTACAGAGCCCACCCCTCCCCGTACGGCAGCACAGGCTGAGCAACAGGGCAGAAGAAGAAACACACGGGTTTCAAACTCAGTTACCCATTTCTGTTGTCTTGAGATCATCCTTGTGAACCATCACCTTTTTTTTTTTTCTGAAAATATACGCACTCAGGCAATCCTGCAAATATTTTTCCATGTTCCACACTTCAACAGCACTGCTCCTCTGCACAGGTCAATAACACACCAGGAAGGGACTGCAGGACCCTGGCACACTTGGACAGTACATGACATTGAGCTCTACAGGAACCACCCAGTTATGTGACAAACCCCACTAAGGCATTACCCCTCTCCCCCCTAAAGAAATTATCAAGTTTTAAAATTCTCAGTTTTCCTCCACTGCCTCATAATCCAGTAACTTTAAAGATCAAATCAGCTTGTTCTGAATTTCTACAGAAAATCCCCACTTACTGGATCCATCCTTCAGCTCCAGCCCTTATACTTATCAAGTCTTTCTTCATCAGCACATGGTACATTCGTTAATTGTACATTCATACACAGGTAGGTTTCAATGCATGGAAAACAAATGACATATAGAGAGACTTCCCCACCCTCTCATCTCCTCTGCATCTAAATATCAATTCTGCATCTTTACTTTCACAGCTTGCAGTGGGTTTTTTTGGAGCAGCGTATGAGGAGCCAGTTCAGCAACGCCACACGCTTTAGGACAACATGAATAGCAGGTTTTTGGCAGAGGGTGAGGAAAAAATGGCAATTTCTAAACAAGTACATGAAAATAAATATATTTACATGCGAGTTGCTGATTCTGCACTCCAGTTACACCCGTCGTTTCACGGGGCCTCCATTATCTGTTTGTCTTTAGCAATATAAATCCTTTGGGGGACAGCCTGCCTCCCTAATCTCTGCAGTCCCACGCCGAGTTCTGCTCCGCAGCAGCAGCAGCAGCAGCATCGGTGTCTGCTGCGTGTCTGTCAGATGTGTGAGCAGGAGCTGGCGAAACGACAGCTTTACACATTGCTCCTTAAGGAAACCAGGACTGTGCTTATCGCTCAGGTACAGAGTCACTGAAGGGCAACGCAACAGCGTCCTTCAGCACGTTTTGTCACCTATCTCCAAGGGCTCAAGGCGACGGGAGATCCCTTTGTAAAGACATTGGTGAAGATGTTTGTCGGGATCAACTCCAACAGTAAGATCCTGACGGGAAAGGCGATTAGTGAAGAGACCTGGTTATCTGTACCTTCCATTTCCAAGAACAACAGTAGAGAGAGATTTGTCTTTGTATGTGAATGCATCTGTTTTGCACAGAATGAAAAAAAAGCCTATGTTTTAAATTTTAAATTTTATATTTCTAGTGTGAAAAAACAGAGACCTCCAGCTGTCATGATGCAATTAATATTCTATCCTGCTGGGAAGGTGAGCCTAACCAGGCTGAAAATGCTACCAGAACAGAGTCATAACACAGTGATTTCTCATAAGAATATCAGTTAAACAGGAGAGAGAGCTGTGTACCATTTTGAGGGGTTTCTCCCTTATTTTAAGTAACAAAGTCTGCACGTCAGAAACACGCAGAGCAGGAGCTGGGTCACAGAGTGGGGCTTGACTGACCCGAACCCCTTCTGTGAGGTCATCCTGACAAAACACGTCCTTCAGGAGGGAAGAACAACCTCGAATTTCCGAGGGAGCTCTTTAAGGTCAAACCTGGGGGAATTTCCACCGGAGCCGGGAGGACCACAGGTACAAGATGAAATAAAATTACCGCTGATTTCAGACAATGCGGAGCGAGTTCGCTGACCCGCGGGCTGGACCCGTCCCTGCAGCATCAATC